GTTTTACTTGTACTGCTTCTGTTCTAAGATCTTGAATACTCCTCTCCAGGCTAGGAATGTTGCAAGAAGTGAAGTACAGCTAATTAATCCAGTGTCAGTACTCCCTCCCCAGCCTTCACACAGAATCAGCAATGAAATCAGCTGCCAATTTAATTGAACTAATTATACATTTGATTTAAACTGTCAGTTCACTGCCTGTAAATATAAATTGGTTCAGGAAGCAGATATTTATTGATGGAAGATAAGTTGACTAAAATTCTGCTCTTACTAGACAAACTTTTATTGATGCATTTGGCACATTTCCTTATCTTTGAAAAAAGAAGTGGAAAGCAGCCCTTACTTAGTATGCCCTGGATACATTTATATCACCAGCTCCATCTATACGCTTCTGTTCTTACACACTTACTAATTGTTCTTGTCATGTGATAGAAAGTAGTTTCTCCAAAGTTATTATTTAGGACCTTTATAAAACTTTTTTGGTTTTGTATCAGCGCTGCTTTTATTACAGAAAATGCAGGGGTTCCTTTCAGTTTCTCTGTTACATTATTGTTTTGCATTTAAGCAAATGAATAAATCAGTGCTAGGACAATAATATATTTCCCAGTTTCCATCATTTGCTTGACTTGGCAGTTAGGGCTGCAATTTCTGGGTGGAATTTAACACCTTCAGGGGCAGCTGGGAAGTCGGGTAGCTGCATAATTGGTAGGGAGAGTTGAACTGGAAAGCCCACTGCCTCTCCAAACCCATCCATGAAGCCAGTGTGGGGAAGGTCAAGGTTAAGGTCAAACTTCCCTCTCCTAGGTCAACTGAAACCTTTAAAATGCCCAATTAACAGCAAGGAAAAGTCAGATCAGATCATACAGACTGCCAGTGATGTCCTAGGGGCCCACTGAATAACCCTACTAGCCTCTCATCTCATAACTGGCCAGAGCTCAACTGAACCTGGAAAACCTGCCACTCACCTTCTCCTCGGATTCTGGAGATACTTCTGGTGTAGGGTCACCCGCAATACCGACAATGGCCACTGTACCCTGTGGCACTGTTGGGACTGCAGAATTGTTGGCTTTCCAGCAGTTCTTTGAGGTGGGCTTCTTTCCTTTAGAGGTAAGGGAATCCCAAAGGCAGGGAGCAGTCTATTTGTTCAACATTTAATCCAATCAGAGCTCCCAGAAAATAGCATAGCTTGTCCCAAGTCTGCAAGAAGTCAGCATATCTGAAAGTTCAGCAGACCCTCAATATTAAAGAGCAATGCTAATCCAGGCTCGGCACTCAATTTCTTCTTAAACTTGTTACATTCTATTCAAGTGCTGAGAATCCTACCAATGATACTGAGGGGTTACAATGTATCCTGGGAATTGAACGTTCCACAGCAACGTGAAAAAATAATGTCTTGTGCATATATAGCATCATTTACAATTTGTAGGCATAACTCGTACACACTTCACATTGTACTATAGTGAGTGATTCACAGGGAATCTTTCAGTTGTATACATTCAGTGGAAGAATCACAGAAACCCAGGAAAAGACAATAAAAATAGCATTAATTGATTTGGGTGCTGTTTAGTTAAAACAAAACTCTTCTGAATCTCTTCAGTTACAGCTGAGGGATCTTCCACTTCCAATTAAATTGCAGGGAAAAGCAGACTCTTTTGAAGCAGGGCAACTCTGAACACAACACTCATTCTGCACCTCACTGGATGCCTGCTTTACATAACATCCTGGAACCAGGCTATCCTGTAGCCACACCATTCTAACACAAACACAGGAGTGCGACCAACTAGATTGAGTTGATACTGTAGCCACAAAATTCCGAGGTTGGGGAGAGTCTAAGTCTGATTTCCACTGGGAGACGGAGACTCGAAATTTCACCAAATTTAACTGAAATTGAGGGGCGGTGATAGCAAAGATCTTCCTGTACTCCCCAAAACTTATAGAAAATTCCTTCCTTTAAATCATTAGAAAGTTTAACATAAATCATAACTGTTCCTATTCGCTCTGATTTCATTGACGTTTTCTAAACTCTGCTATGTCTGGGGAGGCAAGGAGGGAGTGAGGATACCAATTCAGAGCTGGAAAACCTATAAATGCCAGGGATGCAGAAATCCTGGTGAATTCAATGGCAAGACCTTATGACAATATTCCCATTTTACAACTACCCAGAGGCTGGATGGCTGCAAAGTAGGAATGTCTTTGTTATAAGACAGCAGCTGACACCACTGAGGTCAGTCACAGCAATGGGGAACATTGGGTGCAATGAGTGTAGGCTCAGAGTGTTTTGGAGAGAGGACGGGTGACATTTAGGAGGGAGTGGGGTGTAATGGCGGTTGGGGAGGGAGAAGATTTGAGATTCTGGGAGACTGTAGAGGGCAAATAATGGAAAGAGTATTCCAAAAGACTGTGGGGAGAGTTTTTGAAAGATTCTGAAAGATCACAGAAAGATGAAGTGGTTGCGGAAGGGGTCAGCCGATCATGGGAGAGATGGTATCTGGAGACTGGGTGCAGGGAGACAGACAGTGGCTGATGTGCTTTAGCAGCTTTGGATTTTTCTGCTGGATTTGGCTTCTACCTCACTTCAATTGATAGATTTCCCCTGTCTTGGGTAAACCAGCGAACGAGTATTAAATTATTGATAAAAGCTGAGGCATTGAACTTCATTTAAACTCCATAATTACTCAGCTGATATCTCAGAAGCTGTTTATTCATCTAATCTGAAACCTATTCCTGTGCAAACAACAATCAGTGTATTTGTGGCCATTAATAAGCAGGACTTCTCATCTTTATGAATTGAACAACCTTCTAGCCCATTTCCATCTACTTGCTCTTAAGGACAATGTGTCCCTCTTCAATGGGTGCTGGGGCCTGGGGCTGTACTATACAGCTAGTCAATTAAGTGGGCATTACCGGAGCTCGTCTCTTCTAAAGAAAGTAGACCCTACAGTAGTTGCTGGCCCAGTCGGAGGACACGTAGCTCAGCAACCTCAATATTGTCACTGTTTGGCTCTGTACTTGAGGATAAACCTGCATTAACAACCAGCCCCCTTAAATACAGGTCAAGGTTTCCAGAGCTAGTTGGGCAAGTGCCAGTGAATTGCGTGGAGTTAGATATCATTAAAGGCAGGCGGTACCACTGTCAATGAGGCAGCCACTGCCAAAATGCCTCCAAAAAGGATGCCACCGATCCCTCCCTCCCCTCTTTCCACCCCGTCTCCCAAACCTGTAGCATAGTGGCACCCTGCCTCACAGCACCAGGGAGCCAGGTTCGATTCCACCCTTGGGCGACTGTCTGTGTGGAGACTGCACATTCTCTATGTGGGTTTCCTCCAACATTCCAAAGATGTGCAGGTTGACTATGCTAAATTTCCCATAGTGTCCAGTGATGTATAGGTTAGGTGGATTAGCCATGGGAAATGTGGGGTTACAAGAATGCGGTAGTGGGGGATGGGTCTGGGTGGGATGCTTTTCAGAGTGGCCAAATGGCCTGCTTTCACACTGTAGTGATTCTATGATTCTATGTAGCCCATCAGAAGGAGTTACACTGTGGTCTCTCTAGTGGTGAACTTCCAAAGACACTGGTAAAATTTGAGCAGCGGTAGGAACAGGGCCCTTCTTATGTAGCTTAATTGGGTTCCTTCAGGCAGACAGGTCATCTGCCACATTTTTTGACAAGATGACATACTGGCAAAAACACATTGGGCACACCACCTGTTGTCTTCCCATCTTACTTCCCTATCCTTTCCACTGCCTGGCACCAGGTGGCACAGTGGCTCAGTGGTTAGCACTGTTGCCTCACAGCGCCAGGAACCTGGGTCCAATTCCACCCTTGGGCGACTGTGTGGAGTTTACACATTCTCCCCGTGTCTGCGTGGATTTACTCCGGTTTCCTCCCACAGTCCAAAGATGTACAGGCTAGGTGGATTGGCTATGCTAAATTGCCCATAGTGTTCAGGGATTGTGTAGATTAGGTGGGTTAAATGGGGGGATGGGTTTGGATGGGATGCTTTGAGGGTCTGTGTGGACTTGTTGGGCCGAAGGGCCTGTTTCCACACTGTAGGGATTCTATGATTCTATAAAAATTCAGCCCTGCCACCCTTCCATTGTTGATTGTAATGCTTTGAATGCTGATCTCACATAGTATATATACATAGGAACACAGAAAATAGGAGCAGGTATAGGCCATTCTGGCCTTCAAGCCAGTTCTACCGTTTAAGATGATTATGGCTGATTACCCAGCTCAGTTCCCTGTTCCCACTTTTTCTCCATATCCTTTGATCCCTTTAACTCCAAGAACCATTTCTAACTCCTTGCTGAAAACGTATTCAATGTATTGGCCTCAACCATTTTTTGCAGCAGAAAATTCCACAGACCACAGGCCATTAAACTGGTTGTCAGCATGAGTTCCTTTCTGAGACATTCTATGAGCCTGCTCTGACATTGACAAACAGGAATAAGCAACCCATACGAATCATTGTAAGGTCAATGAATCTTTTGCTTCATGCTGCAAAAGGAAGCCAGAGGTTGAAACTCATCTCAGGCATCATTTTGTTTAATATGCTTTTTCTAAAATTTAGTATTTCTTTCATGGCTTGGAATTTAATAAGTAACAACAGTGTGTTTAAACAGCCACATACCTCTAATGGTGAGGCAATTGAGTCATCATCTCTGCATTAGGTAAAGATAAGACTATTTTTGAAGTTTAGATAGTAAAAGGTAGGAAAGATTGGTCAACTGAATTGTTACTCTGTTAGGCCTGTCTTATGCAAGGTTGTAAGCTGCTCACCAGCTGATTGCAGCTTGACTTTATTCCCCTAGCTGTTCTTATATGGTTAAGATACTGAACAGGAAAAGAGAATACATTGCAGAACAATTGAAACACCAATGATTTAAAGACAAAGGTAACAAATCCTGTGACATTAACACTGGTGAAGTAACAAATGAAAACCAGACAATACTGGGGTGTGTAGGTAAATGGTGAAGAAAAAGATAGGAAACAATTGGCTTACCAATATTGTAGTGACATAAACAGTCCTGTTTTCTATGGCAGAAGAATCATTTGGAAACATCATCTCATTCTGAATCAGAACTAGCTTGTCTGCATCACTCCAGTAGCCAATCTAAGAAGTAGGACATAAGCAGTTAATGCCTGGACTTTCTCCTTTTCACTTTTGTGTTGCTATAATCAATATGAATCTATTCACTGAAAAACTCAGGCTATTACTATAGCATTGGCAGTTATCTGTAAGTGATGAAATAACAGGCTGGCAAAAGTTTTTGATAAAATCATTTCAGTAAAGACAATATTCCTTTAAATCAAAAGAAAGTGATGATTTCTGAGGCACTACATGTGATAAAGGGACATAAACTTATTATTATTTGTGAACTTCCCAAGAGAAGGAAAAATGTATTTTTGTTTTCAGTTTTGTGAGGATCTGATTGTTTCCAAAGGTCAGGAACTCATTTTGAACAGTATTTACAAAAGTTCCAGACAATCATGTGGCATTAAAAAAATGATTTGCAAACTACCTGAGGAGAAAATTTCCATGTTTGTTTGCAATATTATTATTCAGATATAAAAGGTTGAATTATTCTTTCTGATATTTGTAATGAGTTTGTTTCAGATAGCTCTTGTACAGTATAATAAAGTTGTGTCCTTTTGTGTCAAACGTTTACAATCTTTTCTCAAAACTACATTGGCAGCCTCCTGTAAATATTTTCATTGACTGGCTTCCAGGGTAAACAATAAAACAGCACAAGACTTTATGTCAATCAAAGATAGTAGGAACTGCAGATGCTGGAGAATCTGAGACGATAAGGTGCAGGGCTGGATGAACACAGCAGGCCAAGCAGCATCAT